TAACTTATATACTCAAATATACAAATATAGACATGTATATTCACATGGTAATTCATTTCTAAATTGCAAATTTCACTGTTGTTGTTTCCAATTCATGTTGAACGCTAAATTTAATAGTAACACACAATCTTTCAAATAATATTTCGTATTATATCATAAAACCATCCAATTATCGTGGTTTCTTTTCTCAATGTGATGCCTACATTTTAAGTTCACGATATAATTCATGATAGATCAATAAGGTTTTAGACTAGAATCAATTATTCACTAAAAGTTTTGCTAACAGGTGCAGATGACACTAGGATCAAACGTTGTATCCCCCCCTTCATCTGCCCTTTTGCCAATTAAAATATTTAAATATAACTCATTTACAAATTTTTCAGTAGAATCGTTTATAATTTTCTATTTTTTTTTGTCAATGAAATTGTAAAAGGCATATATACATACATATATATGTATGTATGCATGCAAGTATGTATGTATGTATGTATGTATAATTGAACTTCATTCCCATTCGCAGTTAGAAAAATATGGATTGAGACTTTGGAAACTATGTGTTTAAAAAAATGTAACTTGAATTAAAAATATATTACCCCCTTAGAAGCAAATTATTTCTTTTTACACTTTCCCCCGTTAACAGAAATAATAAAGACATTCGACGTGACCATATCAAATAGCTTATTCTATGTACACAAAATTTGTCAAGATTCATTCGCGCGCATCTTTCCTTTCGGTAAGAGTAATTCATGTAGATTAATTTTATTTCAAGTATTTCCTTCGTTTTAGAGAAATACCATCCAGCGTTACTACCTGGCAACGTATGCTTTTAGATTCGCCATTTGGCATAGCGTTGGTATTGAGGTTCAAGATTCATTGTCAATTCTTCAAGTTCATCGATTTCATCGATTTCATCTTCCAAATCGTGCAAATTAACATTCTCTTCTGCTTCTTGATTCGCGTATCCCATTTCCTCGTTTTCATCTTCCTCATATCTTGCATTATTTTGTGCTATAAAAACCATATCAATCATTTTTATTACGTTACTATGTAGATTCGATATTTTCGTGAAGCTTATGTTATACGTATTCGGATAGTTTTGCAAGCTAAAATCATACTAAATCTCTATCTAAGAAATATATTATTCTTGTACGTTAAATGTTAAAGAAATACTGTATTACTTGGACGAAGAGAGTTACAGCTCATATTAGCGAAGGAATTTATAGAAGTATGATGAAAGAGTAAGGTATTTTTTAGAGGAGAATTAATATGATTTCTTCATTAGTTTAAACAACAGTTATTGTAATATTTGCAAGCGAGACATAAGATAGTGTTGAAATCAGCATAAATAGAAGTATCGTTTTAGAAATATCATTTGAATCTGATACATATTATTTACACAAATTTCGATTCGTTACAATGCACAATTATCTTTTCCCTATGTTGTTGTAAATTGCTTTCTATCGCATCATGAAGTTACACAGTTATGTTACAGATGAATTTATACATCTTATATACGATTCAATCACCGATCAATGTTTAGCTTATCTATGGAACATTTATTTATATATTTATATATTTATAAATAGATCTGTTACAATAAGAAGAGTTGAGACGAACGTATAGAATTATAAGCCTTGTGAAAGATATTCAATGAAAAACTTGCGACTCTCGCTAATCCTCTGAATGTGTTTTACTTACCTCGTCGCATGAATTACCGATGAAGAGTCGGCAACCTTAGTACTTTCATCAGAAATCATTTCAACTCTGACATTATTCCTTGTGTTCGCTGCTGCCTTTGAACACATAGTTGTAGCAACTGCAGATTTAATCGTATTAAGGTATTTATGAGTCATGTCGTTAATCATGTTTGGACTCGTAAGTTTTACACATTGAGCAATATTTGATCCAAATTTAGAGAACATATACGTATTTTCTAAAGCATTTTCACCTATACTACTATCCGTCTTCAACGGACACACGTCTTTTCTTGAATCGGCTACAGAGTAGACTTTTGTACATATTGAGGAACATTCAGACTTAACACCAGATTCATCGTTCTCTTGGAATTTCCGTTTGCTATGAAAATGCGTGCTGTCTTGCGTATCGCGATTCGCAGAGAAACTGTCGCCTTCCCTCCCAATTTTGGAAGGTTCGTTAGAGTTAGAAACGTTGTCTGCCTCTTCTTCGATCACGAGATTCATGCTTGAATTACTTTGAGGTAAATCGTAAAGCAAGTTCTTAAATTTTACAAGATCTTCTGGCCACTCGCGGGGAATAACTTGTTCCGACGAGAGTTCCGCAGGATCCTCGTTAAGGGAAGAAATGTCGGTTATGTAAAATATAAGATCTTTGGGAATGGACTTACTGATGTCAGCTATATAAGAACACGTTCTGGACGCAGGCATAATGTCTGTTCTTTGAATTGCACTGCCCATGGTATTCTCCGTAAAAAGCTCTCTAATCTTCGCCTCGTTTATATTAATCAACTTCAAGTATCTGTTGTCCGGTGTAGCGTTCGATTTCGTTAGATTCTCTATTCTCGATGTATTTACAACGTTCTCTTCGTAATCGGTCAAAGTACTGAAATCTGTACTAACACCGCTAAAATCAAGATTAATATCATCGTACATAGAATTCCTCTTGGACACTGTCGCTTTTGATTTTCCACTTACTGGGATACTTTGCCAGTGCCTACTATTATTTACGCAGCAAATATCTATTCCCTCGATTTCCTCGCTTGGCATATCGTGAACATTTGTACAAGTCCCCTTACGGTAATTGGTATCAATACTATGCATTTTGGTAACTTTATTGCTTAAACAATTTGTTCCTATATTTACCTTCAACGCATTGTGATATGTAAATGATTTATTACTTATATTAGAACCGCACTCTTCTGTACACGTGAAACATGCCAAATTGTTCAGCTTATTGTCTACGTTAAAAAGAAAATCCTTTTTGACATCACGTTTCTGGTATAAGTTTAATATTACTAAATTGTGCACTTTCTCAGGCGTATTTACAGTGTACGTATCATTTACATTTTTCGTATCATACATTATATTACACGACAAAGAATTACTATCACTAGTAAAATTAATACTGTCCGTTAAACTTTTATCACACATTTCTTTCAGCAGTATGGAATCTACCTTACTCAGTACTGCCTCTATATCTTCGATTTTTATATCGCTAATAGTTGCTTCTACAACAGAACATTCATACCTATCTATAAATTTAGACAAAGGTACGATCATCTTATTCCTTGAAGTACGTGTTAATAGACTATTATGTGCAATCTTTAAACGGTTATCCACTGCTATATTTGAATAGAGATAACTTGCAGGCAATAGAAAATCTTTATTAATAAGATCAATATAGTTTTTTGATTGTATCTTCTGGGGTACCAATTGACTATTCACAGTGAAAAGGTTAATCTGTTGCCCTTTTATGCGAACCTTGTATCGTTTATTGTCATCGTTATGGTCGGTGTCTCCGGATTTCTTTCTTAGTAAAACATTTACTTTGGTAATCGGTTTCGGGAAAGACTTATCGCTCTGCTCAGAAACATTTAAATTCCCCTCGAAGTTGAACGATGGAAACATGTTCGTCAAACTCTTCAAACTCAATATTTGCGAGATATTGAAAGATTTCGTCAGTTTATCCTTCAGCGATACCACAGAGTCTTCCGTCTTTTGGCGATTCTCGTCTCCCTCTGTCTTTCGAGGCCTGTCTTTATTCTCGTTTAAGTAACAATGAAATTTATTCTCGGTTTCCGGGTAACTGTTCGTGTTCTCTTGAAATGCACTTTTAAACTTCAATTGGCTAGTAGAGAAAAGACAACTAGGATGTTGAAACAGCGCGAGCAATTTATCTAAATTAGGAGTATGCTTTTGGATGCAAGACTTTTGCCTTGTCTGCCCTTGCGCTTCCGTTCTCTCGGTGGAAACGGTTGCTCTCTTGGCCGTATCTTGTTGTCTGCTGTCAGGTATCGGTCTACCGTTCCCTGTCACAGCAGAATCCTTCGCTTCGGCTCTACTCGCAGCCCCGGGTGTCTTTATCTCCGTCGAATCGTCGCGACGACCACGGCCACAGCTATCCGTCACTTCTCTGTGTTTCGTCGATGCAGTGCTTTCTTCCAGTGATCGATTTCGAACACTAATTCTCTTGTTCTGTAGATCGGTAGCACCCGTTTGATCTTTCAAAGCGCTGCTAGGATTTCTACCGGTGAATCGTTGTTCATCCTTCGATTCGACTGGTTCGCTCGACGGCGTACACCTCTCCTCTATCTTGTTTGAAATCGAACGAGACACGTTGCCCGACGAACTATGGAAACTGTCGCGCGCCTCTAATCTGTTAGATCCGAATGCATCGACGGAGTCATTCGAATCGGTTGACTCCGCGTTGCTGACTTTAAATTTGAAATCGAACGTAACGTCGGCCTTCGACGAGGCAACGATAGGTTCACGTGAAACGGTATTTGCTGATTCAACAACAGAGACACGAAATCTAGATGACCCACTTGCAGAAGATGCGAGATAGGTGGATGATTCAAGGGAGAGAGAGACTGGTGACGAAGATGTTGAGGATTCTGTAGAACATAATGATGTTTCTGGCACTCGGGACACCACAAATCGGCTTCGCGAAGGACTTGGTATTGGGCTCGCTATAGGTGAAGAGTCTGGACTAAGGGCTGGGGAACGTAGACGACCTCCGTTGATACGTTTCGGTTCGAGCATCGTTTTCCCCGGTTCGTTATTCCGTATCGATATTACGGTTGATAAAGAACATGGTAGTGTTTGACAAGTAAGCGAGATTTTACGAGAGTTTGTACTACATAGGATGCTATGACGTGAATTTTCAGAACCTTCGTTGTTTCCTTCTACAATACGATTTTGCTCGTTCTCCGAACAACAGACTTGAATCTCGGCTAAAAGCTGCGTATACAAGCTCTGGTCTCGGTCATCCTATCGTGAAAAGGTGAAAAGGTGAAAATTAGCTCCACATAGTACACATCATTGTGGAAATTGTTGTAATTGGTTTACTCACTACTTTCGCTCTGGGTTTGGTGTCCAAGTCGATTTGAATGATGCTTTTGTTCTTTTTTATACTGGAATTGAGGGCAGTTAATCCAGTCACTCGTATATCATTATTTCGCAAATCTATCCTCTAAAACGGTAAAACGAGTTTAATGTAGAATAGTCGTTCGTTCGATCGTAGAATATCATGGAACATCTAATATTTACTTGCAAAATCTGATTTGTTTCGATAATCTCCGATAACGCGACGACACCATCGCAAGTTAGCTCGGTTGACTGTATTCCCAATTGTAATAAAATACGATTCTTCTTCAATGCGTCTTTTATGGTAAATATCAATTCGTCGGTCAACACATTTTTCCCAATGTTTAATGTTTCTAATGTTTTAGACAATGTCTACAATACGTTAATAATGTGAATGCGATATTTCTAATACATAATCTAACCGTGTTACGTTGTGGAAAAAACATGTAAAATCACATACTATAATCCGTGCAAAATAGGGAGACGATTCTTTTGTGAGTTGATTGTTCCATAATACTAATATGCTTAAGCCTTTACCGCTCTTATCTTCGTTTATTTGATTAATAAGTCCTTCTAGGATATCACGTACACCGTCGTCTTGAATGTTATTATTGCTGAAGGATAAATAGAATCGATAATGCGCAATCTTAACATTTCTCCAACAGCTTTCTAAGCGGTACGTACCTAATATCAAGCAGCTGTATATGATTATTAAACCTAAGAAGAGAACCGAGTTGTATCGCATCGTACAAATCAAGTCCATTGTCAGCTAAATACAGTTCTCTTATTCCAGTGTTCATTTTCAGCGCTGAAACTGATAGAAGTGGCATACTATTAAACATGGTTGCTTCTCCAAAAATTATCTCGTTAGATAAGTTACTATTAATAAGTACAAAATACAAGGTGATAAATATAATTCAACACTTATCACAGTATGAATCTAATTTTCATAATAAATCTTATTTTTGTAGCATTATATTGCCATAATATTTAAATCATATATATATACATACAATATATATAAAAACATGAAATTTATTCGAGTAACCTAATTCTACTGCTTTTCTAAAATTTACAAGTATAATGGGTTTAATTATTTGTGGACATTAATTATTGATACTCAGAAAAATGAAACAGAACAATGATTGCGAATGACAACAGTTTGTAGCTGTATCAATGTTCATAGTAAAACCATCAAAACTGTACCACATAATAAATACCTAGTGTGACGACAGATCTTCCTGAAAGTCCACAATTTTCTAATTTTAGCACATGTAGATGGCAGATTAATCGTAATGCACGACTCAAGATATTCATGTACTGTTCATTAAGTATTACATCCTTAGCTTCAAGATGTTCTAAACATTGGGTCTGGACAGATAATAGTTATATTAATTACGTATTCCATAATAGAAAAGTAAAAACGAAATTTTAATATACATATTAAAACTCATCGCCGATACTTATGCTTTTCATAGTTATCCTACATGCATATTATCATTTTTTTATGACGATAACAACAGTTTAGAAATACTTCTGATTTAAAATATAATATATATATATACATACATATATATACATATATACCTTTCTTATCATACTCGCGCATGCATGCCATCCGTGTACTCCAATGTCTTGATTAGATGAAATATTTAACTGTTTCGCAGATTCGTAATACTCTAACATATCAAATAATATCACAGAACTCTGCAATTCAACCCAGGGATCAACATTAATGAAAATTCAATATGATACACTCTGAAACCAACTTGAAAATTGGCATTATACCTCGTCATTCAAACATGTTGCTTCTAAATCAACTTTATCGAATTGGATTCTTTTAAGAATTTCTTCCAATGCTTCGCAATCATTAGGATCCAATGTTTGTCCTCTTAGTATAAGTTCTTCACAATGCTTTTGGGATGTATCTAAAGTCTGTATTGAAAGTGATTATTTAACATTGATTCTAATTCATTCACCATATAGCACATAATCGAGTGCACTGCTCAACAAATTTTACATTATTTCCTATTAAATACCCTTTTACGTAATGACTAAAATGTGATCATTTACCTGAAGTTGGCTTACAACAATTTCCAGAGGGTCTGTTTTATGTTTTGTACAGGATTCCTTGTATGCAGAGATTAAATCTTCACGGTTCACATTTTCAGCTGTGAACAATTGATCAATACACAATTAGAAGACAGTAAAACCTTGATATTATTAAGAATAAAATGAATGATGAAAGGTGTTTTCAGAAAAACTTTAAATACGTATATTTAATCCTACTCAATAATAGTTACTGTTAGCGATAGAGATTAGAAACT